TCTTGGGAGGCGCGTGTCAGGCATGGTTGGACAACATGCTGTCTGCACATGTGGTGAGTGGTGCGGTGACGGCCAAGGGCAGGCAAACCGTTCTAAGTGCAAATTGAAGTGAGAACTGTTGAAAATGAGATGGCGATTTCAAATCAATACGTGGTGCACAGGCGAGTGATGTTGGCGCTTTTCCGAGCGATCGATGACATTCCTCTCATCTCATTATGGCACCTCCCTGCGCGTATCGATAGACCAAAAAAATATGGCGGTGTATCATCCCATGTTCTGGCGGAATATATTCATTCTCATTTTCGTCCCACCATGACATGCCACGCATCTTCCCTTGCTTCACTACTCACCAAATGTTTAGTGCAGCGAGGCAAGATGCATGGTATGTTGCCGTGCGAGTGAAATGCGGATGAATCTTCTGCTGGAACATGGGAAGATACACTGCCATATTTTTTTGTCTTTGCGCACATGGTCAGTAGTGAAGTGTGACACCCATATTATTACCCGCACGGAGGTGCACTGCCATATTTTTTTGTGTTTTATGTATGTGGTGAGCAGTGCCGTGTGAGGCCCATGTCGTTACACACAGGGAGGTGTCACTGTGTGAGGAATGTCGTTGATCAAGCTGCCCTCATAACTCGCCATCAAAGATTAATTTCAACTCCGCATCTCGTTGTGCATGCGGCGAGTAGTGCATCAAAGATCGATTTGCGCATGACATTGTGGTGAGTAGTGCATCAAAGACTGATTCGAACTCGCCGTCTCGTTTTCAACAACTTGTTCTCAAGTAAATCTGCACTCACAGCTATTTTTCTGCCTTTGCACCAAAGTGCACAACACACCACATGCACAAACAACAAAGGTCTATGGCAGTGTCTACATATGGCGCGGCATTGGCACGCCCAGTTGTCATGAGAATGTATGTATCATGATCTTCTAAGGTGGTACGTTCATATTTTAACTTTGTTGGCCGTACACACATTTCGACATTTTCGACAAAATCTGGCCGTGGACGCAGTCATATGCTATTATGCATGCATGCCACACAGGAGTCAGTCCTACCTAGTGTGGGTTTGCTGTCCCATGGGTAGTTCGACGAGTATAGGATTGATTGATTGGTGAGTCCTCAAAAAAGACCTATCCTCCCTACCACTTGTGCGTATGTCCTTGTCTCTTCACACCAAGTTTGTAGTAATCCCTTCAATCTTGACACGCGGACTACTACCAGTACCTAGAATATAATATCAGAAAGTCCAAGTGTGCTTCTGCACTTATTTCCTTTGACGCCATGAGACAATGTCGATCTGGGGTGAATGGGTTTGTTGTTCGACAACTGGAGGCAAACGAGTATCGCCACCTGAATAAATGTCAATACGCATCCCGACCGATATCCCGACTGGGATGACAGCGGAGGGATGCAAGCCACTGCCACGGGTAGGTCCACGGGCAAATTGTGTGCAGGCAGAGGGGATATTCTCACCAAAAGACAACTTTTTTGGCCTAGTATAGGAGAAGTTTCTCCGTGTCAGATGCATCCGAAGCAGGCCGTAATCGTTGTCATGGTACATCATTTCCTACATGTGGTGAGTACTGGAGTGAGGGAAGATTCATGGTATGTCATGATGCATGTAGTGGTTGTCACTGGTTGAAGGTGGTGGGGCCCAGAACTGCTGCTCAACATAAACATTACGCAGCAACATGCTGAATGCCTGTATGCAACGACATTGCTCAGCCCCTTGTTTGCTTTTAATACCGGCGGTTAAGAAACAACATCATCCACACAAGGACCGGCGGCCTACCTTAGTTGGTAGGGCGCTGGCCCTAGTGTGGGTGATATTGTTCCTTCATTATCCTACCCCTTAAGGCGCATTGGCCGCAAGGGCAGGGCGACGGTCCACACCGCACCAGAAAGCGGGCGAAAAAACAAAGGAAGACGGTAGGATGGGAAGTGTTTGCGGTGGAGTTGTGCGCAGAGGGTTTTCCCTAACGCAATGTCCACAGCTCGCCAACAAACGTGGGAGCGCCATGTTGTGTAGATGTTGTGGAGAGGGAGGAGAGGCGTTGATTGTAGGCGTGGGTGCCGTAAGATAGCGGGCGGATGTTGGATTCGAAGGGACACGGCGGGTTGCATTTCTTTTCTTTTTTTTTGCCCTCTTTTTGTGAGGAGCAATGTCGGGTTTGAAAAGAACTCGAGCACGCACACACGCGCGCGCGCGCGCGCGCAAGAGAGAGAGAGGAGTAAAACTATGCACAGGGAAAACAGAAATGCAAGCAAAAGAAAAAGAAACAAACAACGAAAATGTAATGGAACAAAATGGAGTTAATGTGGCATTAATTAACGAGTTGATGGATAAGGAACTGAACTAGGAGAGTGAAGTCAATCAATCAATCAACTGATCATTCAATCAACCAATCAACCAATCAGCCAGTCAATCAACCAACTCACTGAAGCAATCAATCAATCAATCCATCAAGCAACCAATCGATCCATCAATCCATCAATCCATCAAGCAATCAATCAATCAAATCAATCAATCACTAAATCAATCAACTAATCAATTGATCACTAATCAATGAACTAATCAATCGATCACGAAATCAATCAATTAATCAATGGATCACTAAATCAATCAACTAATCTATCCATCAATCAATCAAAAAAACAATAAATCAACGAATCAATCATCGAGATGAATCGAGGAGGGCGTGGTGGATAAGGAATTAAGCGTGCAAACTCAATCAATCAAAATCCCTGCCAATTTAGGTACTTGTGAAGTGAAAAACATAAGAACACATATGATAATTGGTGTTTCCTCTCGAGATAAATCCGATTTTCTAGTCCCGAAAGGGTTTTCAGCCCTCAACCTTAGCCTTGGCATAAGGCGGCCGGCATTCTCATTACTGTTCGTCGGTAGCAGCTGCAGCTGCGTTTACTCTTTTAGGTAAGTTGCATTTTCTGATGATACCTGAAGGCCAGTCAGTTGCGTTGACTCTTTTAGGTAAGTTGCATCTTCTGATGGTATCTGAAGGCCGGTCAGTTCACACGGGGCCGGTCAGTTCGCTGATGATCGATATCTGTACGTCCAGCTCGCTGATGATCGCTATCTCTACGTCCAGTTCGCTGATGATCGATATCTCTACGTCCAGTTCGCCGATGATCGATATCTCTACCTCCAGTTCGCTGATGATCAATATCTCTACGTCCAGCTTGCCGATGACCGATATATCTCTACATCCAGTTCGCTGATGATCGATATCTCTACGTCCAGTTTGCTGATGATCAATATCTCTACGTCCAGTTCGCTGATCATCTCTCCAGGCCGTGCATTTTGAGAGAAAGGACATCCGATTCTCTGCTGCTGCATATGTATGTAACATACGAGTGAGTTTTTTTTTTTTTTTTTTTTTTTCCCTTTCTCGATTTATTCATGTCAGCCTTGTGCAGGAGCCATGCTGATCTTCTCTGTATCTACCAATTCTAATGGATGCCCCGAACCTTGCGAGTTTTTTTTTGTCTTGCGAGTTTTTTGTTACACGTGTGGATAACAAAGGGTCTCTCCCTCCAGAACACAACACTTTGTGTAGCTGGACGACGCAGTCGTCTGGACACATTCGGAATGTTGACCTCCTCCAAACGCACTCGAACCAGAAAGGCGTCTAAATGCATGTAGAGTGTCGGGCAGTGGAGCGAGGCCCAGTGTGTGGATGGTGAGGAAGGAAAAGATCTATAAATCCCACAGGCACTCGACAAATTAAGCAACGAGAACAGACTCAAAAAAAAAAAAAAAAAAAAAAAAAAAAAAAAAAAAAATTACCAGGATCCGGTAAATAAAAAAAAAAAAAAAAAAAAGGCCGTCTAAAAAAAAAAAAAAAAAAAAAAAAAAAAAAAAAACAGGAAGAGACGTCGCATTTTTGCAAGAGGATGACGAATCAATATCGGTGAACAGATTAAACCGAGGAGTAAATCCAAAAAACAATAAACATAGTAATATACCTTTCTCGGCCTTTTGGCTAAAAATAGATAAAGTGTAGTATCTGTTGTGATCGGTTTAATATCTGCTCCACGGTCCATTGTGCGAGGAATGAGACCTCACGGGCTCCTCATCAGACATGCAAGTGTTCTGGGCCGCGAGGAATGAGACATGCAAGTGTTCAGGCTCCTTCCAGAAGCAAGAGCTGTGCGGTACAGTTGAGCCCAGGGCTCAGGCGGTCGCGCCCTGGGCACAGGCTGTGGGAGGCAGACACATCACGGACTGGCCGCAGGCCAATGAGAATGCAGCATTGTCGTCACACATGGACCGCGAGGCAACGAGAATGCGGCAAACACTTGGAGCGTGGAGGGCTGCCTGGACGCGCCGAACTGTAGAGGGCCCAGGCCGCAACAGCAAAACAGAGCCTGGGCCCAGACACTGGGGCCCGACTGGAAGCTACTGGAAATTCGTCCAGCCAGGCCCACGCAGCCAAACATTCGATCAATTCTTGCCAATAACCACGCCACGGGCCGACCGTGCGGTGGCAGGTGATAGCGAAGGTGGTCTTGGGGTAGGAGGTGCATGCGGAGGGAGTCTAGGTGTGATGAGGGGAGGAGAGAGAAAGTACCTGGTGTCCGCTGGCGGTCTGCATTGGTGATGAGTCTGACAACGTCACGTACATTGGTCTTCAACTAGGCTGAGCGCTACAGGTGTAGATAGGCTGAGTAGTGTAGGCTGGGCGCTGGCCGCCAGACAGTAGGAGCAACATTGGATACTGTCTTTGTGTGGCCAGGGAGGGTCAACATTTTGACATACGAGTTCATTGTATTGCTCTTATTTGGATGGTATCTTGGTGCAGGTGCATTGTGCTCTCTGCTTGGTACATGAGTATCTGGACTACTTCGTGATTTTGCAACTTGGATTTCTGTCTATCGCTCCTCTCCCTCATATTCCTCGCAACTGGACCATATTAAAAAAAACATAAGAAAAAGAGAACAAGACCGCATTGATGGTACAATGCTTTTTTTCTTTTTTTCATTGCTTTTGTTTTGAGCAAAGAAACAGGATACTTTTTTTTTTCTTTTTTTTTTCCACTGCAAGTATACACGCTCTTGTCATTAGTAGAATTGAAAAAAACAGAAAAAAGAAACTAACGAGTCCGCACTACAGTCGCGATCCCCACACAGTCACTTCGCAAGTCCCGTTGACGTCGTTCCCTTGTATGCCCACAATCGATGTCCTGGGATTTGGCGCGAAATCCTGGTATTTGGCGGGAAGCAACAAAATTTAGAAAATCCACTTCTCCTTCCTGTCGCCCACCATTCATTCGGCAACACCCTGCGCACGTGAGGCAAACTTTTGGCGCCATTTTGTTTTCCATAGCCATGCCCAATTCGTTTTCTCCTACCCTCTTCTTTTCTCTTCCCCTCCCCCCTCTTTCCCCCCTCTCCCTTCTTCAACTCAGCTTCTTTCCCCTACTCGGCGGCAACAACCTGCATTCCACTCCAACAAACATTAATAACATTCACACCGAACGAAGTCATACAACACTCATGGCGCAAGCATGTCACACTCGTCACACTCGTCACACTCATGTCACACAGACAGACAACGACCGCTTGCTGCTACTTCTCCACAACATTGCAGGGGGGTGAGGGTGAGCGGCACTGTCTTGGACCCCACTACTACTCTGCTTGGCAGCCTATCTCCCACCCAGAAGAAGACACCCACTCCGCGACCGTCGGGGTCGCAATTCCCACGTTCCGCATGTCGAAAAGATTCGCGTCGTGCACGTCGGGACTTGCCGCTGCCGTTGCGTCTCTCAGCACTGATACCGTACGATAATCCAGCGCCACGGCGTCGAACGCGGTCGCTCTGACACAGTTGGGCGTCTGGATCCCGGCAAGGACCAGATCAGTGATGCCGAGACGGCGAAGAACGAGGTCCAGCTGGGTGAACAAGAACCCACTCCATCGCTTCTTCACCACAACGACATCGTCGTCTTCACTAACGAGCCCATCTACAAGTCGCGCGCCCTCGCTTCCTTCCACACACACCCCTCCATTCCCCCCATTCCTTCCCGATCTAAAGAGGCCCCTTCGGGATCTCTCAACGTCAACCCCACTGGGGTCATGCACGCGGACAACCCACACAACGACGACGCCTCTCTCTCTCGCCATAGCCACAGCTTCACGGACGACCGGCAGGATGGCCGGTGCGCCTGCAACGAAGAGTGGCGCGCTCGGAAGACAGAAGTCCCTTTGCATGTCAATCACAAGAAGCGCCTCTCGACGAAGGGAATGCCCAAACGCAACGTCTCCAGTCGCTTCCTCCTGCTCTTTCGGCCGCCGCAGCTTGTTTCCCGCCAACTTGAACTCCTTGCCTTCGACACGGTCCTCCTCCCGCCAACTCCTTGCCTTCGACACGGTTCTCCTCCTCCCGCCAACGCAGCTTGTTTCCCGCCAACTCGTCCTCCTCCCGCCACCGCAGCGTGTTTCCCGCCAATTTGAACTCCTTGCGTTCGACACGGTCATCCTCCCGCCAACGCAGCTTGTTTCCCGCCAACTCCTTGCCTTCGACACGGCCCTCCTCCTCCTCCGCTTCCCCCCACCTTACCTGGTCGCGCGCCCCCACGCGCTCTCCGCTACCATCCTGCCCGCCGAATCCCCCACTCCGTCCTCCCATCATCCGAATGCGCTGCCTCCCCTTCTCTGCGCCACAGATTCTTTCCCCCCCCCCTGCGATCTCCGTCATCACCCACCCCTTCACTCCTCATTGGCCATAACCGGGACACCAAGCCTGTCATCAGTGGTGCGAGCGTTCCGCGGTGAAACCCGTGCCATCCCACCCCGCGCACCGCATCCACCGCTCCGCTTCCCCCGTAATCCCCGGCCCCCCAATGCCTATTCCCCCAGACCCTTGTTGCGCCTGTCATCAACCCTTGTTTTCCCGATTTCGCCGCAGTCAGACGCTCCGCGAGTAGCTGCGGCGGCGGATTCGCCGCCGTCAGACGCTCCAAGAGTCGCCGTTGCGGATGCGCTGTTGTTGCGCGTGTCGCGCATGCGCCGCCAATGAATGCCTGCCGGGCTGGCAATCCACATAACGCCGTAATCGCCATCGCCACCGCCCGGGCCAAACGACCCTCCAGCCAAACGACCCTCCAGCCAAAAAACGACCCCGGTCATGCTACCGTAGGCGCTTGATGGCCCTAATGACCTTTGGCCGAAGAGGATGATGAGGATTCCGCCAGCTTCCGCGACATGCCCTCCACAAAAAGGTAGCCCGAGAATAGCACGATGGCGATACCCATGCCGGGCAACGCCTTTCTTCCCTGTCGGGATAGCATCGGATGCCGACGCCACGTGTCGGTCGCGCGAAAAGAGTTCTCCGTAGCCGATCCCCCGTTCCCCGCCATCAAGGTCCCGACCCGGACGACAGCTGGCACCCCACTTTTCGGCCCCCTCCTCCCCCCTCTGTCGTCCCACGTGTCACACGCAGGCACCACCACCCTACCTTACCTGTCTCTGGCGCGCGCGAGAAAACACCCACCCTCTTCACTCTCGCACGCCAGCGCGCGCGTGCAAGCCACACACACACACCCTGCCGTCCTACGACCGCGCTTGCAAAACACACACACACACACGCTGCCGTCTTCCTACCAGGCATGCACGCAACGACACCCTTCGCTCTTACGACAGCGCGAACGACGCGAGCAGCAAACTACACCATAGCCATGTCGCTCTGCACAAGTCACCTCCTCTTCCTGTCGCCGCCCACTCCGTCGTTGTTTTCTGGTTCAATGCTCTGCGAGGACAAAGAAAGAGAACCAATTACCAGAGGGCCGAGAGCTCAGTTGGTACACCCATGAACTGTTGACATATACAGAGTAGAGTTCGAATCCAGCAGACACTATCAGATCAACAGAACGAAAGCATTCTGACTTGCCTGGGGCCGGTCAGTTCTTTTTTTTTTTTTTTTTTTTTTTTTGATWTCTCACGCCGTCGTCCTTGGAAAAAAAAAAAAAAAAAAGAGGAGAAAGAACCAATTGATGAGAGGAAGCGGGGAGGGAGGGATGGGCATACGTGGCCCAGGTAGCACGAGCAGTAGTCTGCTCAGTGATCTGGGCGTGTCGGAACCGGTCTAGATTTGAAAATAGACCGTTCTCTGATGTGGAAACTAAGACTGCGATCAAAAGAGGATTGCGAAGAGCTATCTGGGCGGACTGGAAGAGGAAGGCCAGAGGAGGAAAAGGCTCAAGGAGACAGTTGTGGTGGTTCCTGAGAACCTGGGCGAAAGGGAACCAGCGGCGAAAGGGAACCAGCTCGCAGGGGTGCACAGCACCAGAGGGCTGGTGTTGTCAAAGTGGTTAAATTAGTAGTAGTAGTAGAGGGTACTTGTAAGTAGGGGACCAGGGTGCCTCGGTCAGTTGGTGGAGGCTAGAGAGGCCCAGAGCTGATACCAGGGCACTCGGTATAGTAGGGGCACAGGAGCCCACTAGGAGAGTGTCAGGGAACACAGGAACAACAGTGTTCCACTGGGTCGGTTAGACCTGGCCGTATAGTAGAATAGGTAAGTTTAAGAATGAGCTGGGATTGACAAGTGAATAGAATAATGATGTAACAAGGGGAATTGTTTGAGAAGTGTGCTATGATGAGTAAGAGGCATTTGGCTCCTAAACTAGCTGATGCTGCCAGGATAACTCCGGGTAGAATTGTGAGGTCGCCGGCCTCGTTCATTTGATTCGAAATATATCACTTCTGTAATATAAAAAAGAAAAAGAAAAAAGGAAAAAAAAGAAAGAAAGGAAGGAAGCGAACTGAGCTAAGAGCTCCGATTCGTTTTGCTTGAGAAGCATTGTTTTTTTTTTCTTTTTCTTTTTCTTTTTTTGCTCCCCTGGAGGCATTGTGCATCTTGCGCGGAGCTGACTGGAAAGAAAGAAAGAAGAAAGCAATGGCCAACACTTGCTCTTGAACACGGAAAGCTCAATACAACGTTTACATCCAAGACGTGTTCTTCATTACTCAGGACGCGCACATTCCTCGACGCACGTTTCGACCGTCTGCACTACGGTCATCCTCAGGAGGCTGTCCTCCTAGCCTCAGACTTGCGGCTACCCACCAACCTATCCGACACTCTGAGCGTGGGGGGCCTATACGGCCTTGCCCTCTTAATACTGCGCGCCACTGCGTGTCTTGTCTGCTGCTAGACCCGCTGCGGGCCTTGGCAGGCAGCTACCGCCCGCGCATACAGCAGCGAATCTGTTCTGGTTCGTACGTAGCTGCTGCGCTTCAATCCGGATTGCTGCTCGTGCTTCCGCTCGCAAAGTCACCTGTTAGCGCGCACGCGTGGACGCTCGCTAAGTCACCTGTTAGCGCGCACGTGTGGACACTCGTGCCGGCCACGTGCCCGTATACCATAACTGACTCATCCCTCCGCGGCTTGCCTACTTCGAATTCGAAAATTGCCTCATCCTGCTCGCTACTTTTCCCGCTCTGAAATAGTCACGCTTCGTATGCGTCTCCTTCTGCTACCTGTTTTCTGTATCCGGGCCTCTCGTGGCATCCGGTACATCTGCCTCATCGGTCTCATCTCCCGAACCTCCTGGGAACGTACACTTCCTAAAAGAAAAATGAAAAGTGAAAAATAAGGAGGAATAATTTCTAAACAGAACTGGCACGCGTGAGGACCCTTTCCCTGACTATTATACAACCACACCCGCCTTTCCACGGTGGGCGGGAAAATCCTAAACAGTCGGGCACGCTAGGGAATAAATGGGAATAAATGGGAGCAAAAAAGGTCTAACGGGAAGTTCCTGGGTAAGATAGATAGATTTGTTTATTCTGTAATTACTATTATACAGTCCTACCCGCTGTCTTGGCAGGCGGGAACTCCTAACGTGCATATTTACTGAGATAATACAAATGTAGATGCAAAATGCAATAGTTCACCCTCTGAAACTAACCTACCCGCTATCTTACTGCCCTTCTTCATAGTATCTACGGCTATACGCCCGGGCAGGTGTTTACCATAGCCGGAGGGATAGTCCTCTTGACGATATCCCATTCGGCTATGGTCCCCCTGGCAACTTTTGCCAGGGCTCCGCTGAAGAACGCCGGGGAGTATCCCGGGCGCAGAAGTTCAACCTTGACCACGAGGGTCGGCAGGAGCTTCACGTAGTCATTGTTCGCCGTCTGTTCGATCCTGTAGATCGAGCTGGCTATGGCACCGATCTTCACTTTTTTGTCTGAAAATGAGCAGACATCTTGGAAGGACCTGAAAGGTAGAATTCCTTCCGCCAAGCACTCTTGGTTTTTCATTCTTGGTTCGAGTAGGAAACGCACCGGTCGTGAGCTTGCCACACCGATTAGGCTTGATTGACCTGTTTAATGTGTGTGGTCGGACTTGATGTCTGATTGAGGGGTGATTTCCTCACACTCTTTATCTCGCACAAGTTATAACAGTGATGTGACTGTATCTGATGCGCTGTCGTCTGTACATGACATTGTATGCATGATGATGAGCGTATACCGGAACTTAGGAAACTTTATCTTTTTCTGATTGCAATCTCCGTTCAAAGTTTGCTCGCGTTTTCATTATTTTTCAAGGTTCGCTCGTGCTCGATTACTTGGCATCTTAAACTTACTGGTTGATCGGCACTAAGTTGTGTGCACGGAGTTGGCGTTTCAACCTTGGGTCTGAACGTGGGCAACTGGTCGTGCTCCAAGCTTGTCTCCGTTCTTCATAGCAGCCTTCCGGAGTTCCTCGTTGCTAACGAAGACCTTGTCTGCTGCGAAGCAGATGCGAGAAGGTCTCTACTGCGAACTGACTGTGCTCACTTCTATAACCCGTCCAAAGCTTGTCATTTTTTTGTGGGGACGGGTTCGTATTGTATTGACTATTTTGACTCACCTCAACTTATTTTCCCGTACTTAGATCTGACAGTGTTGCAGTTATCGGCTACACATGGCACGCGGAACCCCAGTATAATTGTTATTGGTGCAAACTTGGTAATTCGTGTTCGTGGCGACGGTTGGTATGCGATATCAGGGAGTCCATTTCTCAGAGCACAGCCACGCGGCCGATGCACTTCTGGGGAACTTCCCCATGCCCATTCCCCAGCCCCCTCTGTTGCAGGATTGCAAAACTTCGAACTGATAGAGATGATTTCTCCTGTCGATGCAATTCCTTCGGAACGTCCGGAGGGGACCACAGGGGTTCACAGGGTAGGGGGTTTATCAGATAAGAGGGCGTCATTGAAACCATTCACTAGCTTAACTAAGTGAGGGGACTGATTGATGAAGCTTGAAACTCAAAAGTTCAAAGTAGTATGGGGCATTTCCCAGGGAACAATGTAGTAGAAGGCTCGCAACTGTGACTCTCACTGTTTCATGCTCTATAAAATGTATGACGGGACGCTGGACCCGCTT